TTTGACATAAACATCCTCCCTACTGTACCCAAAACAAAACGTGAAATAGTTTTCCGCAATCTCAGATCCATCAACCCTTCTGCCCTTTCCGCTCTTGTCACCACCAAACTGGTAATCTCCTCTCCCCCACCAAATGACAACCCCTCAGAACTAGTCACCTATTACAACAGTGCTCTCTCCTCTTGTCTTGACAAGCTAGCCCCTATTAAAACCAAAACTGTCTCCTTCACCCACACTGCCCCCTGCTACAACTCTGAGACTGTATAAGAAATCTGGTCTAACTGTCCATCTCCAAATGTACACGGACTATATACAGAAATCCAAGGATGCACTAAACGCTGTCCGGTCAAATTACTACTCCAATCTCATCAACTCTGCTCCAATAACCCCAAATCACTTTTCTCAACTATCAACACACTTTTAAAGCCCAATAACACTTCCTCATCCTTTAACATCACCAAATGCAATAGTTTTCAGTCTTTCTTGCAGTCCAGAACTGATAACATTTATAGTTCCCTTGATCTCGTCTGCTCACACAGCCCCTCTAAATTCACCTCCCTCCAGCTCCATTCAGCAGCTCTCACACTTCACTCCAATCTCCTCTGCTCAACTGACTCAATTTTCGTCTGTTATTAAAATTACCAGCTGCTCTTTGGATCCCATTCCCTCTCCTCTCATCAAAAGTTGTCTCCCCATTGTCTCTTTTCTGATCACAAGAATCATCAACTCCTCACTTATTTCTGGATCTGTTGTTCCACAGTCTCTCAAGTTGGCAGCCATCACCCCAATACTAAAAAAAACCTGGTCTTGACCCTGATAACTTCATAAATTTCCTGCCTATATCCTGTCTTCCCTTTCTGTTTAAAATTTTAGAGTGTCATAGCTGATCAACTTCAGACCCACCTAAAATCCAATAGCTTGTTAGAACCATTCCAGTCCAGTTTCCATGCTGATGACCTACAGATTTATATTTCTACTACATCCATAAACCCCAACATCCACTCCATCCTCACCCATTGCTTAACTGACATCAAAATCTGGATGAAGCACAATTTTCTCAAATTAAATACAGACAAAACTGACATACTCCTCATTGGTCCAAACAGTGTTACCAAGTCCATTCAAAACTTCTGCCTCAACTTTGACAACATCACTCTCACTCCATCATCACTCAATCGTAATCTTGGTATTCTTCTCGACTCCTCTCTTTCATTCGAATCACATGTCAAACAGATAACTTGGACTGCATTCTTCCATCTCAACAACATAGCACGACTCCGCCCATCACTCACTTTCTTCACTGCTGAAATCCTAATCCATGTTTTGTCACATCCAGAATCGACTATTGTAATAGCATTTTGTACGGTACACCATCTAAAACTCTCAACAAATTGCAATATATTCAAAACTCTGCTGCCCGCCTTCTCACCCACACCTGACCCCGTGAACATTCACTCCTGTCCTGCAGAAACTCCATTGGCTTCCTGTCATTCAACACATCCATTTCAAGATCCTCCTCACCACATTCAAAGCCCTCCATAATCTGGCCTAGGGCTGGGTGATATGGACCTAAATTAATATCACAATATTTTATGATAAATCGCGATATACGATAAATATCTCAGTATTTCTTTCTTTCCATAAAGTAATAACAAAAATGTATTTCTGAGTCAAAGCTTTGTCCCAGTTGTCACACAGGCACATTTATTAACAACAGCTGTAACTGTACAAAATAAATGTCTAAAAAATAAACTATTTACATGTATGTTTATTTTTTAGACATTTATTTAGATATATTAAATAATAATCCTCTTCAGCTGGGGGCAGCTGTGGCTGAGAGGTTAGAGCAGTCGTCCTCAAATGGGAGAGTTAGGGGTTCGATTCCACAAGCAGCCACATGCTGAAGTGTCCCTGGGCAAGAAACTGAACCCCGCATTGCCTCTGATGTGTCCCATCGGTGTACGAATGTGATCCAAAGCACTGATTATTCTTTGTAGAGATCTAGTAGAGTGCTGTATGAATGGGTAAATGAGGACACAGATTGTGTTGTAAAGAGCTTTGAGTGTCTTGATAAGATAGAATGGTGCTATATAAGTACTTTAAGTACTACATTACTTTACATTCAGCTGCGCCACCTACACGTAAGTGTATGTGAAACTGTGGCTGCAGGTCCGACAGACTTTATCCTCCTTCCCTGAAATAAACCACGGGTCAGAACTCATTTAGCCATGCTTTGCCTTTTACTTACTCTACAATCTGTGTCCTCATTTACCCATTCAAACATCGCTCTACTAGATCTCTACAAAGCTAACTGAACAAATCATTCTAAAGAGACTAATCAGAGCTTTAGCGACATTAATAAATCAGCAGCTTATCATATCGCTAAGACACGGTCCTCAGCTGTGGAACAAAACGGCTAAAGCGTTAGCTGTCTTGTTAGCCGCTAAGGAGCCGATGGTTGGTATGAATGCAGAATTGATGATGCCCAACACACATTTTATGTGTAGTGCTCCACCTAAGTGCTGTTTACACTTCATGCCTCCACTGGTTCTGCAATGTTGGCTTTATGGATCAAAGCTCAGACTCTAATGGGATGTAGCTGAGTTCTACCTAGGATGTGCCGAGGACAACCTTCAAGATACCAACTTGGAGCCAGAACCACTGACTGCATTAAGAGGTGATAAATGGCTCCCACATGAACAGACCGCTTCTTTTACTTGTTAGATGCTTAGATGTTCAGGAGTTGGTGCGATCAGACGTTTCTGTATGATTAAACTACTTTGTTGTTGTTGTTGTTTTCTTTGAACAGTTAGCTTCCAGCTCCTCTGATCTGATTATCATGGTTTAACAGAGTTGTTTTTTTTTTTTTTGGCTGTTTACTTCAGCAGAGGTTGCCACCATGAGCAGATGCAGTTTTACACAGGTTGCCCTTTGTGACGCAACCAGAGTTCGAACCTCCAACCTCAAGATTACAAGATGTCTGCACTGACCGCCAAGCTACTGCAGCCCTGGTTTAAACAGAGGAATTACTTTATATTTCAGGTGCCTGAATATTGTTTCCATGATTTAATGGAATCTAATCTCTCTTTTACAGTGTATTGTTCTTTTATATAAGTTTACCTGGAATCCAACATTTTTCGGTCAGGTAATCTGGAAAGTTTCTTTTTTTGTGCTGAAATGCTTCACCTTCAATCCAGAAGGCTTCATCAGTCAAGGAAACACAAGAGGAGGGGGCGTGGCAAAGAGACCATCTTAGCACCAACATAACTGGTTTGTTCCACTTTGGAGTAAGCTGTTGGGGTAAGAATCAGTTTTGTTGTGTGTTTCCTTGACTGATGAAGCCTTCCGGATCGAAGGCGAAACGTTTCAGCACAAAAAAAAAAAACTGTCCAGATGACCTGACTGAAAAATGTTGGATTGTATACCTGGATTATTGAGCATGGACTTTGTTGTTTACCTGGAATGTTTTTTTCATAACTCATTTGGTTGTTTGTTTATGTGTTAATATGTAAATGAATCCCTTTAATCTAAAATTTAATTTGCTTTAAAGTTCTTTAATATGAAATTCAGCAGCTACAACAATCTTTAGTAGGTTGTGCTAGCTCTGTCTCAGTGCTGCGATCTTGTAATCCCGAGGTTGTGGGTTCGAGCCCAGGTTGTGTCAGGAACGGCGTCCAAACCTTTCATGCAAGTTCACTTTTGCTGTGGCGACCCCTGCAGAAGGGAGCGGCCGACAAAAACAACTATAGCTTCAGAAACCTAAGAGTGACAAGTATAAAATGAGCTAAGCCAGTCCTTCTCAAATAGTGGGGTGCACCCCCCTGGGGGGGCCAGTGGGGGCACATGTGACCCAGGGAACATGCTTTTTTTGCCGCAGGGAGTAGTCTTTTTTTCTTTTTTCTCACCATTTTCATTTTGTCGCGTGCGTTCCAGCAGCTGTTTGTTCATATCTCTCAGATTTACTAATAATAAAGTTACGAACAAATAACTGTCTTGTTGTTTGGGGGGCCATGCTTGAACCGTGTCGCTCCTCTCTGCTGCTGAGACATAAACTCCGACACCTCCGCTGCGTGTGTTTCATGTCCATGCGCTCTGGACGTCACCCACAGCTTGCATGCGACAAAAAGTAAACTCAAGCAAGAGCGACACCTGCCCCCCTTTCCTCTTACGCGTTTACAAAATGTTTTAGTTTTATCGATGAGTTTGTCAAAGCACAATTTACAGAAGTAATGTTTAATAAATGTTACGACTTTATTCTTTGCTAACAAAATATATTCACCTCCTCAGTTAAGCTGCTGTTTTTATGACGTTCTTCTGGAAGTCGGCAGAAAGAGACAAAAAATATTTTGAGCCTCAATTTATTCTCTACGTCTTCCAACATCAAACTCAGAAAAACAAATGATTTACAGCCATTGATCTGCTCTTTTTATAATCTGTTCCTTTCACAATAAGAGCAAATTCTGACGTGAAATTTATACATTTGTGTCCGCCACACTCTGGACGTTTGTCACCCACAGCTCGCAGGCAACAAAGAGTAAACTCCAAGCAAGAGGGATACCTGCCCCCTCTTTCCTCGTTCATGTTGGCAAAATGTTTTAGTTTTATCGATGAGTGTGCTCATTGATCCTGACTCCCTCATTTTGATGAAAATCAGCACAAATGGTTTTATTCATTAATATTTTTTTTTTTTTAGGTCAAAGTGTTTTATATAACACTTCTGAGTTGAAATGTTGCTGATCAATTTGAATTTATTATTATTTATTGATTATATTTAATTTGATTTTTCAGTGTGAAATGGTCAAAAATGTTTAAAGTTTAAATAAGGATTGAAGTTTTTTTCAGTCAAATTGATGCACTTTAATTAGTGTCTGTTACAGAGTAAAAAACAATGTTAATAAAGTTATTTTTCGTTGTAAGTTGAGCTATATTCTTTTTTTTTATTTAATGTTAATAAGGACACAATGTTATGCAGAGGTGTACTTATAACAATTTTATAGACAAATTATACTATTTACAGTCGCGGCAGAGAGTTGGGGGGGGCGAAATGTTTACATCTTCCTAGGAGGGCGTAACAGAAAATAATTGAGAAGCACTAAGCTAAGCTAACTTTTATTATTGTGTATGTTTGTACCGGTAATTGCATTTTTGTTACACTGCTTATAGCAGCCTTGTGGATTTATTTTGTGTAAAGGCCTTCTTTCAGTTCATACAGTCTATAAAAATAGTTAAAGAGGTTTCAGAATCCAAATATGATCCTTCAAGACCATACCAACCCATAATGCACCCTGTCCTTGTCCGCACTCCGTTCTCTTAAATATCTATTACAGTACAACAAAGTCCATGCTCAAAAATCCAGGTATACAATCCAACATTTTTCAGTCAGGTCATCTGGACAGTTTCTTTTTTTTTTTTTGACTGAAAAATGTTGGATTTTATACCTGGATTATTGAGCATGGACTTTGTTGTTTTCAACCAGTTTGACAAGACTGTCAACAAGGAAGAGGGCCGGCAATGGAGGAGGGGGCGTACAAAAGAGACCATCTTGTCACAAGCAGAACTGGTTTGTTCCACTTTGGAGTAAGCTGTTGGAGGAAGAATCAGTTTTGTGTTTCCTTGACTGATGAAGCCTTCTGGATCGAAGGCGAAACGTTTCAGCACAAAAATGTTTGATCTATTACAGTACCTATACATCCTTCTTGCCATTTTGCATCTAACTACAACAGGTAACCTACCAGTTCGTGGTGTAAAGCTTAAATCACATTTCCAGGTTTTCTGACAATAAATATTATCTACACGGAGGCTTGTTTTTGTGTGTTTGTGGAAAGCCTACCACCCCGAAGCTGAAGACGTCAGACTTTGGTGTGATCTCTCCTCTCAGTGCCTCCGGTGCCATGTACGCACAGGTCCCCACGACGCTCTCCGTCATCACCGTTGTCGATGAGTGCTTAGCCGATGCTCTTGTCAGCCCAAAGTCAGAGATTTTCGCCACAAAGTTTTCATCTAACAGGATGTTTGCACTAGTAGGACACAAATAATTGAGGAGTGACCACGAGCAAATAAAGAAATAAAGAATATTTGATTTAAAATCCTCTTCTTGCTAACAACAGAAGAAAATCTTAAGCCTTCTGAGTATAATGAGAAGGTCAAACTGTTATGAACTGCTGAATTTATGTTTAAAGATCTAACAGTTTGCTCAGTCGTCTCTTCTTACAGCTGAATATGTGAGGGGTGTTACAGCAGTAAGACGGCTCTCGTTGTACCTTTTAACGTCTCTGTGCACGTGATGATTGTCGTGCAGATACTCCAAACCTCTGGCTGTTCCTTCCGCTATCAAGCATCTCTGTTTCCAGGAAAGAGGAGGACTTCCATCCTGCATGAACAAGGCACATGTTAAATCTTCTGCACAGAAGCCCTGGTCTTAGAGAGCAGAGCGTGCACGGAGCAGAACATGGCGCTCACCAAACAAGCTAGTCGATCCAGCAGAGATCCGTTGGCCATGAAGGCGTACACTATACACAGGTGCTCCTCGTCACAGGAGAACCCAACCAAGTCAACCAAGTTCTCATGCTGCAATCTGTGGAGTGAATATTTTAATCAGAGCAAACCCTCCGCAGGAGGACTAAACATTATCACTGTCTTACGCACACAAACACTTACACGCTCAGAGTTTGGATCTCCTGATTAAACTGAGCTTGCAACTTATCCAGCGGCATGTCATCCACCTGAGGGGACAGAGTTTGACATCATTCCCTGCACAATGCGTTCTGCATTAAAACCTATCTCCACTTACTGGATTGAGTTTTTTCACTGCCACAGGCCTGTTGTTCAGGAAGCCTTTGTAGACGGTACCAAAGCCTCCTTCTCCGAGGCGGGCGCCACCGTTGGACGTGGACCGGTCGTCAAAGTTCCCAGTGGCCCTCAACAACTCACTGTACAGGAAACTGGAGAAACCTAAAGAAGAAAACAGACACGATCCGCTGGATGTTGTTTGCAATGTCCCAGTTAAAAAGAAGAAGTATTTAGGAATTAATATTTGAAAAGATAAAAAATTCATTGAAGGATCCAACATAGAAACTAAAATCCAGAGTGGTAAAGTTTTTCTCATCACTTGGCTCCAAAGACATTTATCTATTTTCGGACGTGTTCTACTCACTACTGCACATATGTGATGAAATGATAAAGAAGATAAATCAGGACAATTTTAATTTCATTTGGAGAAGCAGATGCCATTATATTAGAAGAGCTGATGTAGTTAAATCTTTAGAGGAAGGGGGTTAGATATGATTGATTTTGATCCAATGAATGGAAGCATCAAACTCAAATGGTTGCAAAATTTCATTAAAAACTACGAAAGCTTCTGGAATATTTTTCCTCGTAAGATTTTTTGAAGAGTTTGGTGGGATTAGTTTTCTGTTAAGTTGCGACTTTGAAATCTCTAAATTACCGATAAAATGATCAGACTTTCATAAACCGGTTCTGCAATATTGGAAACGTATCTTCAAACACAATTTTTCACCACATTCGGTCCCGATTTGGAACAACAGATGCATTTTGATACACTGAAAATCGTTCTTCTACAAAGATTGGTTAAAGAAAGGTATGTGGTCTGTTCTACACTTTATGAAAGAAAATGTCAACCTTTTATCATATGATGATTTTATCAAAAAATACACATTAAATTGTTCTAAAATTAATTTGACAGAGGGTTAAAGTCAATTCCTCCTGCTATGATTCAGATGATTAAAGGTATGATTTCATATTCAACTGTTACTCAAAAAAACATCTTTGATTATAAATGGTTGTGACTTTATAGACAGAAAATGTAAAAATAAATTCATAAGGAACACTTTGACCTCAACTTTCTTCACCTGTACTCTGAGAAGAAAACAATTGTTTAAAAATTATGATAATATCTCTCTAAAAAAAATCTAAAGCAAATAGCTTTCTTTTCCACTACCACAAAAAAATCAAGAATTTATCCTTGTAATGACTTTGAGCAAAATAAATTTAATATAAATACCAGTTCCTGTGCATTCTGTAATTCAGATATTGAGACAGCAGAAAACCTTTTTTTTTTTAATTGCAACTTCATTAACGTTTTTTGGAAAGATTTTCAGAGTTGGACCTTATCTAAGAGCTCTATTCCACTTTTAAATTTTGCTATAATAAAATCTAGTTTATTAACAGGGAATGAAAAATTAAATTAGGGTAATAACAATTTAATCCTTCTAGCCAATTTTTTTTATTCATAAATGCCGTTTCCTGAAAATTTCCCCCATTTTCAACATTTTTTTTAAGAGAAATAATTTTATTTAAGGAAATGCTTAAACGTTGCAACCTTCCAAAAGCTCAGTCTTTATACCAGTATATTAATAGCTTATTTTAAGACTTGAAACTTCTCTTGCATTCGTAACATTTTATGTTTTGTTTTCACTCAAACTGTTCATGTTCTTTTTGTTTTATTTTTTTCATCATACTGTCTGCTCAGTTTTATCATATCAAATGTGCACTTGTGTTATTGTTGTATACCTGTCAGACAGGTGTTTTTTTTCCCTTGAATTTTCAATAAGGATCTAACAACAGGGCAGCACGGTGGTACAACTGGTAGAGCTGCTGCCTCTCAGCGAGCAGGTCCCTGGTTCAAATCCCAGTCCGGGAGCCTTTCTGGGTGGAGTTTGCATGTTCTCTCCGTGCATGCGTGGGTTTTCTCCGGGTACTCCGGTTTCCTCCCACAGACCAAAAACATGCATGTTGGACTGATTGGTAACTCTAAATTGTCTCTAGGTGTGAGTGAGAGAGTGAATGGTTGTTTGTCTCTATGTGTCCCTGTTATGGACTGGAGACCCGTCCAGGGTGTACCCCGCCCCTCGCACAGTGATTGCTGGACATGGGCACCAGCGACCCCCGTGACCCAAAATGGAAGAAGCAGGTAAAAGATAATGTATGGATGGATCGAAAAACAACAACAACAACAACAACCAAAAAAAAAAAAAACATAAATGATGACTCCTGCTGTTCAGACAGTGGTGCTGCCACCTGCTGGACGGTTATATAAAACAACAGTATGGGTGTAAATTGAGATGTTTTCATGCAGCATTTCTGGCTTCTTTCATTGCTTCTACAAATAATTATTTTAATAAATATGAAACAATGTTGCTAACATAACACTGCCTATTTATACTGAGCTGTGCTTGCAGCAGAAGTATTAAAATATTGCTTAAATAAATTATTTAAGTGATTTTTTGGAGGGCTCCAGGTGCAAAATTACAACCAAGCAAAAGCAAGTTTCTTTCAGCTGCTCTTTTCTTCTGGGGTCACCACAGCGAGTGAACTCGCATGAAAGATTTGGCAATTTATTTTACACTGAATGCCCTTCCTGACAACCTGGGCTTGAACTCACAACCTCTGGATAACAAAACTATGGCACTGACCACCGAGCTACCTAGTAACCACAATGGTGAAAACAATATACTGGTATATTTTATAATAATCCTGTAATTGTTTCTGTGTGTGTGTGCAAATTTGTCTGTGTTACTTAAATATCACATAAACCAGAGGACCCAATTAAATAAAACTCTCAAAGTAATTAGTCCATGTACATTTACAAGTGATAAACTTTTAAAGTCAACCCAACTTAAGCTGGCCGCCACAGCTGATCCAGAAAATTGCTGAAAATACATGTGTGGCATGGAGGCTGCACAGCTGCAGAAAGAAAAGCTTTGCAGAGAGTGGTGAAGGCTGCACAGAAGATGTTGGAGTCAGTCTCCCCACCATCACAGACATCTACACCTCCAGATGCAGGAAGAGGACCACCTGCATCATGAAGGACTCCACTCACCCAGCACACACACTTTTTGCCCCACTCCCCTCAGGCAGGAGGTTGAGGAGCATTAAGTGTAGAACCACTACACTGAGGAACAGCTTCTACCCTGAAGTTTAGTTTTGTCTTCCTGTATTTCTTTGTGCGGTTTACTTAACAAAACGTCCTGTTTTCGACCTTTCTTTCTGTTGCTGTGATGAACTGTGCACGCTGCCCCACAACGATCAAACATTTCAAATGTAAACATGTAAATGAAGGCCATGTTTGCTGCTGACTGTAACACTTTCTAAGGAACATACAACTTGAGATGTGGTTGTGTTAAAACAATGATAACAGTGTGCACCCACCTGTGTGTCCAGCGTCGCTGTTTCCCAGCAGTACTTGTGTCTGTAGAGTAGAACTTGTGGGTGGGGGCTGAGCCTCGGTCTCCCCCAGCAGCCTGGTTGGAAGGTCACTGTACGTTTCTGCTGAAGAGACCTGCTGCGTTTCTGCTGATGTTGATGAAAACTCTTCTAGAGTGGAAAATAAATATTAACACGGTTCACTCGATGCAGTTTTTAATCATTAACATGGTTTCAGCATCCAACAGTCCAGAGAGAGCACACGTCAGATTTTAGCACCTGTTCAGATTTAAACTAAATGGGATCTACTGGTGGTAATATTTTAAGAAGCATTTCAATGTTGAATAAAGTTAAATATAGTATAGATTACAAACAATAAGCCTATGCTATCATATATGAATTACTGTGAAGAGGTTTGGGGCAACCCTTGTACAAAAATACGCCAAAATATATACACATGTACACACACACCCACATACAGTACACACAACAATACTGTATGTTTTTATGTATGCATGCATTGATGTACAACTCCAAATTTAAAAAGTCTGGACGTTGTGTAAAATGTGAATAAAAACAACTCAATGATTGCAAATCTCACAAAACCCATATTTTATTTCCCGTGAAAACAACAAATGCTGAAACTAATGAACTGCAACGTTTCTTGGAAAAAATAATGACATTTTGAATTTAATGGCAGCGACACAGCTCAGAAAAGTTGACACAAGGGCAATGAAACAATTTATTGGTGGAGTGAATAAGAAATAGCTAAAGGAACATTTTGCAATTATTATTATTTTTTTTAGTTAACCTTTATTTATAAAGGTTTTATAAATAAAAATAAAAATATATATTTATTTATAAATACAGGTAGTCTCATTGAGTCACAAGGACTCATTTTCAAGAGAGACCTGTTTGGGATGATGGTGGGGGTTAAGGGCTTTGCTCAAATGAGGGTGGAGGCAGGTGTGGGTGCTTCACCTTTTCCACCCACATTTTGAATTATGTTAATTGGCTGCTGCTGCATGAGGGTCTGGGCATAAAAACAGAATTTTAGGGAGGCTTATTAAGAAGTAAAGATGGGCAGAGGTTTAGCAGTCTGCAAAAAATGGCATCAAAATGTGTTTATTTAATGGTGTATGATTTTAAAAACATTGAACTTCTAGCTACTTTTGAACGTGTTCAAATAAAGGTTTACTTTTAATTTGAGATAAAGACTTTCTTCTTCTTCTTCTTTTCCCTCTTCAGGTGTCTCCACAGTGAGTCATTCTCCTCCATCTCTGTCCTCTGCATCCATCTTCTGCTTTGGTCACATTACATCTGTATTATAATTGAATACTCCATCTGTATTGTTTTATAAGCTTTTTTATTGTTTTCTATTGTATGGGTGTACATATGGTTATGTTATGTTTTTAATTTTACTTTATTTGTGGGTGTACACAGGTCTTATGTCTTATGTAATGTTCTCATTTTTACTTCATTTTTACTTTATTTTTACTTTATTACTATTCGCACCTTATGTCGAAGCAAATTCCTAGTTTGTGAATCTCGTTCATTGACATGGCGATAATAAACTGATTCTGATTCTCTGTCCTCACTCCAACTACCTCCATGTCCTCTCTTACTGCATCCATATATCTCCTCTTTGTCTTTTTCCTGGCAGCTGCATTTCTAACATCCTTCTACCAATATACCCACTGTCCCTCCTCTGGACATGTCCAAACCACTGTCCCTCCTCTGGACATGTCCAAACCACTGTCCCTCCTCTGGACATGTCCAAACCATCTCAGTCTGGCCTCTCAAACTTGACCTTTTATGTTAAATAAAGACATTAATTCATATTTACTGAACGTGGTGGTGGATGTTCCTCTTTCCTGCTGTTTGGATGATGATGGAACTGTCACATCTTACCTGGTAGCAGCAAACTAGCAGCAGCCAGCAACATGTTACTCTTCAAAATGTCCACCAGTTGTCCCACCGTGCAGTTGGTGGTCCCCCAGTCATTCAGCAGCTCCACTGTGGGACTCTTCCCCTGAGCTACAAGACCTTCAAACCTCCTGGAAACAGACAGCTGTTGTTTATTTACCTGGATGACTATCAGGACAGACATGCAGGATTCACGTGCTCTATAATGTTCTGTAAACTACAGCTGTTTCCCGCAGCTCACCTGACGTGATGCTGGGAGTACCTCGACTCCCCGCTCGGCTTCCGTATGGACACAATCACGTCCTTCCACCTGTCCTGTGGGTCCAAAAAGTCGGACAGCTGGCGACGTAAACCATAACTGATGTTGCGAATGTAAGTAGCGGAAGTCAACGACTTCTCCATCCTGTCAGAAACTCCTTACGAAGCCTGGTGTTTGGTCTATCTGAACGCCATGTTAAACAACACACGAGGATTATTTAAGCTACACAAAGAGAACGTGTAAAACAACAAGATGACATAGTTGTCTCACAGTTTAGTGAAGTGGGTTATTCCGACATTGAGCAACTTCCCTAAACGTAACGCGGCAGGGCTGTCCCGCTGACAGTCTCCACCTATTCATGCGTAAATATGAAACATAATTAAATATGAAATCCAGCCCGACTTGTGTTTTAGTACTGTGTTTGATCATAACTAATACTTAAAAACATGGAGCTGTTAAAGTTTAAAATTACACGAAAACGTGAAGGAAAGCGAGGCGGAAACTCTGTGATCACAAACAGGCTCACGGTGTAACACCGCCCCCTAGTGGCCAATTTATAACACGTTCCCCTTGAAGATCAGAGTCAGAGATTCTTTATTGTCATTCGCACCCAATGTGGTACATGTGGTGGAGCGAAGTTATGTACACAGGGTCCCAGTTACATCCAACAATAAAATGTAAAAGAAAATAACATCTAAGATATGAACTAAGAAAAACATCAACTAAATATACACTAAGCACTAATAGCATAAAAACATTACGCCGAACAGCAGCACGAACATGAGTCTGTGTGAGCGGATGAGCACGCATGAACACATCAACATGAAACAGATCAGCAGCAACATCATGTGATTATTTTCACAGTGAATATTCTGGTTAGAGATTTACATATTCATGAGTCTAACAGCCTCAGGGTAGAAGCTGTTCCTCAGTCTGGTGGTTCTACACTTAATTTAGTGGTGGAGAAAGTACTCAAACACTGTACTTAAGTAAAAGTACAAATAAACAGACAAAAATGTACTCTGGTAAAAGTAGAAGTACCACATTAACATTTTTACTTAAGTACAAGTAAATAAGTACTTGCTTTTAAAATACTTAAAGTATTAAAAGTAAAAGTATTTCCTGAATGAGTACTTCCTGTCTGGGTGGACTGATCGGACAGCATCTGAAGTCAGTTTCTTAGGATCCACTGTGAGATGGACCTTTACAAGAGATCCTTCCTGTCTACAGCCATCAGTATCTATAACATCTCTTAATGAAATGTGTAACAAGTTACAACAACAAATAATTTCCCTTTGGGATTAATAAAGTATTTTTGAATTGAATTGAATTAAATTGAATGTATTACATAATGCAATGGTCTACATATCATTAAGTGTACTTACTGTATGTATATTTTCTGTAATACATTAATAGTGTTGAGTCATTTTAATGAACAATGCTGCAGATAATACATGTTTTTATTGTGTTTACTCTGTGACACAGTTCACACTTGGACTTGTGATTCTGTGCGTCATCAGCGATGACCTGCAGAGTTAAATGCCATTAAGTAAAATAAGAAAGAGGAATGATTTTACCTTTGAAAGTTTTTATTTAACACAGAGAAAAACCAATGTGTCATTTTAACTGCAGTAAACACATTTACATAAAAGTTGTCTGCCTGAACAAAAGGAGCATTAGACACAACTAACAAAGGAACAGGCTCTGATCATTTCAACTCCAGTTTGTCATCAACTCTAGTTAAAATATTGTCTATTCAACCTTGTAATGGGTCAATAATGAACAATATTTTAACTTTCTGACACCATTTTTAAAACTTGGACCTGAGTGTCGAGCCATTAGGAAACATCTCTCATCTCCTAACATCCCATGAACTGACACATTTTAACATTGCAGCAAGAATTTCTTGTTCAAGTTCAGAAAAAGTTGGTTTTCAAAGATTTTTGAGTCCAGTCTGGCTCTTTTGGGAGAGAGAATCTGTCCTGTTGTACTGAGCAGTCTTTCAATAGTCTTTCAATAATCTTTCAATAATATTTCTATAAGGTCATGGGTGGAGCGTATCTTCTGACGGACTCTCTTGCGGTGGAATACATTTTGGGTGTGTTAGCGGTGCTGCATGTGCACCCATCTCAGTGACATAATACTAGAATATATGTAATTGGCCCAGCTCTTCTTGAAGGCGGGTCTAACGTTACCTGCCCACTTTGCAGTGATTCAATGGACCAGCTCCCCTCTCACCATTAGTTACTTTCAAAGTAACAAACAAATCAAAAAGCCGCAACATGAATGTAACTTGTAATGCAGCGCATTATAGAAATGTAGTGTAGTAGAAAGTACATATACTTGATGTAAAATGTAGTGGAGTAAAAGTATAAAGTACCCACATTTAACTCTACTTAAGTAAAGTACAGATACATGAAAAATGTACTTAAGTATAGTAACGAAGTATTTGCACTTAGTTACATCCCACCACTGCGCTTAATGCTCCTCAACCTCCTTCCTGGGGGGAGCGGGGCAAAAAGTGTGTGCTGGGTGAGTGGGGTCCTTCATGATACAGGTGGCCCTCTTCCTACATCTGGAGGTGTAAGCTTTTCTTTCTGCAGCTGTGCAGCCTCCATGCCACACGTTGATGCTGGAGCACAGGATGCTCTCCACTGCACACCTGTAGAAGGAGGTGAGGACTGAGCTTCCCAGACCAGCTCGCCTCAGCCGCCTGAGGAAGTAGAGTCTCTGATGAGCTTTCTTGATCAGGCTGGTGGTGTTGTTGCCCCAGCTGAGGTTGTCATTCATGTGTACACCCAAGTACTTGTAGCTGGAGACCACTTCCACCGCAGATCCTCTTATGTTCAGTGGTGTGTAGGTGTGTTTATTCCTTCTGAGGTCCACAATCATCTCCTTTGTCTTCTTCACATTGATGTGAAGGTTATTCTCTTTGCACCAGCTCTCCAGGTGTTCCACTTCCTCATCTATGTTTGTGATGCATCCCACCACCGCTGTATCATCTGCAAACTTTACAATGTGACAGCCTGGATGGGTAGCTGCACAATCATACGTGAGCAGAGTAAACAGGAGGGGGCTCAACACACATCCCTGAGGAGAGCCAGTGCTGAGGGTTATGGTGGAGTAGGAGAAGTTGTGGATCCTCACTCAAGATCAAAGATTGATTTATTATGTATCTGTATAGTCATATTTATTATACTATTTTTTCATAAATTTAGTTTATGTAAAACATGAAAAAATATAAGGTGAGTATTTAAATCATTTAAAGGGCCATTCTTTAAATGGGGGAGTGGTGGCGTGGATGATAAAGAAGGTGGGCCTGTGATCCGAAGGTTGCCAGAACGAAGACATCAAAATGTGGGTGGGGAAAGGTGAAACACCCATACCTGTCTCCACCCTCATTTGGCCCACCCTGGCCCTCTGAGCAAGGTCCTAACCCCCACCCATCTGCTTCCCTGGTCACCCTAGAAGGCAGCTCTCTGCTCCACACAGAGGGCTGTGGTAGCTCGGTGGTCTGTGGTTGTGTCAGGAAGGACATCCAGTGTAAAAGCAATTGCCAAATCCTTGTGAGAGTTCACACTGTAGGAACCTTTGAAGAAGCAGCTGAAAGAAGAAAAACAAAATGTTTAAATGGCCAGACAGTGATTTATTTAACTCTGATTTTTTTAAGCCTTGACCAATAATTTTAACAAAATGGCTGGGATTCATTAAAGGAATGCATACAGTTTTCTGTTTTAGCTAAATTGGATTTGAACTGGACATCTTATCTAAAAATGATGCAGAAAAACTGGTTCATGCTTTTATCACATCTAGACAGGACTATTGCAATGGTTTATTATCTGGATGTCCAAATACTTCTTTACAAGTCTTCAGTTGATCCAAAATGCTGCTGCCAGAGTCTTAACTAGAGTTAGTAGGAGAGATCATATCTCTCCAGTTTTAGCTTCTCTCCATTGGCTCCCTATCAAATACAGAATATAATTCAAAATCCTACTTCTAACCTACAAAGCTCTCAACAACCTAGTTCCATCTTATATTAAAGACTTTATTGTTTCATATTTTCCTAACAGATTGAGTGGGGACAGAGTGAGAGTGATGTTGTCAAAGTTGAGGCAGAAGTTTTGAATGGACTTGGTAACACTGTTTGGACCAATGAGGAGTATGTCAGTTTTGTCTGTATTTAATTTGAGAAAATTGTGCTTCTGTAAGGATGGTACCATTTACTGACTCGGTTTGTGTCTGTGTTTCCCTTGTGTGTTCTCTTCAGTTTAATTGGTGTCACCCTTGTCTTGTCACAGCTGTTTGTAATCACGTCTCGTTTTGTCCTTGTATAAAAGCTGTCTGTTCTGTCTTGTTCCTCGTCGCGTCGTATTTGTTGGGTCTTCAGTGTTCTCCTGTGTCTCCTGAGTTTTCCTGAGCTTCCTGAGTCCCGTCTGAGTATCCCTCCTGAGTCTTCTAGTTTATGTAAGTGTTGCTGCCACGTCAGCTGTTTATTTTGTAACTGTATTAATCATTAAAATACTTAGTTTTGTAATCTGCCGAGTTGAGTCCTGTCTGCACTACTGGGTTCGTTCCTGTCTACCAAACCCTGACAGCTTCATCCAGATTTTGATGTCAGTTAAGCAATGGGTGAGGATGGAGTGGATATTGGGGTTTATGGATGTAGTAGAAATGTAAATCTGTATGTCATCAGCATAGCAGTGAAAATGGAGGCCATTTTTGGATATTCACGGATGCTATTACCAAGGGGGAGGATATAAATGATGAAAAGGAGAGGACCAAGCACTGAACCTTGGATAACACCTTGGGATAGAGGAGTTATGGAGGAGGAGCAGCAGTTGATGTGAATAAACTGTTGCCAGTCTGTGAGGTAGGACTGAAACCAGGACAGAGCAGAGCCAGTGATGTTCAGGTTGGACTTGAGACGGGACAGGAGGATGGAATGACTGACGGTGTCAAAAGCTGCAGTGAAATCCAGAAGGATGAGGATACTGAGCTGGCCAGAATCAGAGAAAAGGAAGAGCTTGTTGGTAACTTTGAGAAGAACTGTTTCAGTTCTGTTTTGGATGGAAACCGGACTGGAATGGTTCAAACAAACTATTGGATTTGAGGTGGGTCTGAAGTTGATCAGCTATGAGTTGCTC